ATAGAATCTCTCACCTGGGCCTAAGCCAATAAGTACTCATAAGAGGAGGAAAGTACAACTATATATTAGCCAATACATATTCGACATTGGATTAAACAAGAGATGCGCCAATCAGAGTCTACGATGCTGACGTTTGATTGGCTTATCCCAGGTGATAGATTTTATCACCTGGACTAAAAGTGATTAAAAATACGCCATTTCTGATCACAGTAATAGTACCTCTAAACAGTAAGTTGAAGTTCTGGGGGATAGAATCTCTCACCTGGACGAAACCATACTATAATCAAGTCTGCCCTAACCGTATAGGACGGGAAGTCAAACGCAAGTCAAGTATACTAGTAGATAAGAATAATCAAGTCTATTCTTATGTCCGGATATGATGTAATTCCATAAATAGTTCTGAAATTGTACAGTTTCAATTAAATATATTTTCAAGTTTGTATAGTTGATTTTTATTTTTCATGTTTCTGTTTTTGGATTTCGCAAGGCAGGTCACCTTGCGAAATAGGTCTAGACTTCAGTAACATGACAACTTGCCTGCTAAACTAATATGGTTATCCCTCATTCCACCATCAGTCCGTGTCGGTGCCGCACACCGACCTTCCTGCTGGAGTGACCATTTGGTTGCGCGGGCGGGTGGCCACCAGAGCCGCCACGGCATTGCGACCCAACCGAGCGCACAACATAATGTTAGCTGTAAGGGGAGAACCACATTGGAAATAGTCGGAGTGAACTCATCAATGCACAATTCTCTGGAGCAGCATCACACAAAGCTCTACAAAATTCAAGCGTCCAAACAGTTCAAAATTGTACTCCGGAGTAACCTCTTCTGTCAATATAACCAATCGTGTGAACTCATCTGTCCCGAAATAAATCAAACAATGACATTTTCAAGGGTTGGACCGGCATATCTCGTCAAAAACAGGAGATTTCCGAATCAATAGGTATACATACATTCATGAAGAGAATTTTGAAAGGAATCCGAATTCACTGGCATAATTTTCATAAATTTATACCTGGCAGCATTGATAATGTACTATTTTAAACAGGTTTATACGAATATACTTCACTATCTGTAAAGTAAGTGGTAAAGTATGTTTCAATAGTAACTGTATAAAATAATAACGTAAATGACATTGTTTGATTTACAGTTATTTCGGACAGAAGTAAGGTGTGATGGACTCTGATTGGATTTTACAAATGTTAAAAAGGAGGAAGGTGGCTCACCTTGCGAATTCCATTAACAAGTCACTTTAGAAGTACTATTAGTACACCATTTCTCGTTTAAGTTCAGGATATTTCTGGTATATTTCGTCCGCCGCACAACTGATTCACGCCATGTTCGTTACTCGGAGTATGTTCCCCGAACATTCGATATAACGTAACGAGGCAATTTATGGACACCTTTTTTTTTTTTGTCAAAGATAGCTCGAAAATATGTTGCAAATGTTGCAAATTTTACCTATTTTTTTATCATTTTATATCCCCATAAAGCTTAGGGTGTGATTGATCGAATGGAACTTGTTTCATCAAGTTTAAGGAGGTATTACAGCAGTTAGGTGGCTTTGAAGTTTTGATTGTTCATTGGATGAGATGCGCCAATTTATGGACAGGGTACATTATACTTAATTTGACTATAATAAAAGTTCGTTCGATTCGAAGTTTTCCAATGGAAAAAAATATAAGATGCCACAGTATATATAAGAAATCAAAGGATATAGAATTTAAACTTGACTCACAGTCAATTACAATTCCACCATTTCGACCACGTCATCCGGAATGAGCCGCAATGTCAACGCCCTGACCACCAAGTAGGCTCAGAAATGGTACGGCGTCATCAGGATCATCACCGTCACTACAGCTATCTTGTGTGGATTGCAATGTCGTGGTGGCTCTGGTGGACCAACGCGGTGGAGGAAGAGGTCTTGGTAGCACCCATCGCCAACTGCTAAAACAGCCACTTCAGCACTTGCGATGGGTGCAATCAAGACGTCTTGCGCCACCGCCCGCGCAACCACGTGATCACACCGGCAGGGAGATGTACGGTACCGACACGGGCTGGATGGTGGAATGAGGAATGACCAATTTCATTGGGTTAGTAGGCAAGTGGTAAATTGAGACCTGGTAGAATTGACCGAGTCCTGAATACCACATCACATGATCTTGCTCTCATACACAGCCTACACATATTATCTAAATGCTCCTTGCATCAACAGCCATCACAGGAGTAGAATATATCGCAACAAGGCGTGATGAGGCATGGAGCTGTGTATGCGGCTACTCAACCCGTCGATCCTGGGCTGTCCCGCCCTCCACCAAGTCGATGCGATGATCAACCAACCGTTTGGTCCGACCTTGGAATCGGAACGTGTGCGCGCCAAGCTGCTGCGGTACCTCCGTCACATATTGGACCAGGGCCAGTGCTCGTATTCGATCACGCCATCGGGGTCGTACCCACCTGCCTTGCGAATTCCAAAAACGGACAGACACATGAAAAATAAAAATCAAGAATACAAACTTGAAGATATATTTAATTGAAACTATACAAAAAAAGAAATATAATTTATACTGTTTTAAAATCATACAATTTCAAAATTATTTATGGAATTCGCAAGGTGGTTCACCATGCGCAGCATACAAAATTGCCTATTTCACCTTGCTTTTTCTGTTTAATGACTTGTTAATGGAATTCGCAAGGTGAGCCACCTTGCTCCTTTTTAATATTCAATCCGATTCCATCACACCTTGCTTCTTACACACGATTGGCTATAATACTGGCAGAAGAGGTTTCAATGTTGAAGTGTTTGAATTTTGTAGAGCTTTGTGTGATGCTGCTCAAGAGAATTGTGCACTGATGTGTTCACTCCGACTATATCCAATGTGGTTCTTCCCTTACAGCTAACATTATGGTTCTTCCCTTACAGCTAACATTATGTTGTGGCCTCGGTTGGGTCGCAATGCCGTGACGGCTCTGGTGGGCTAATGCGGTGGCGCAAGACGTCTGGTACAGTAGGAACCCATCGCAAGTGTTGAAGTGGCGGCTTCAGCACATGCGATGGGTGCCACCAAGACGTCTTGCGCCACCGGCCCGCGCAACCACGTGACTACTCCAGTAGGGAGGTGTACGGCACCGACTCGGACTGATGGTGGAATGAGGGATGTCCACATTCTTTGGTTTAACAGGCAAGTGGTAATGCTACTGAAGTCTAGACCTGTTCAAATTGACCGAGTCCGGGATACCACATCGCATGATCTTGCTCTCATACGCAGCCTACATAATTATCTCAATGCTCCTTGCATCAACCGCCATCACAGGAGTAGAATATATCGCAACAGGGCGTAATGAATCTACACACCGATTTTCGTGATTTCACGACATCTGATTGGACAAATTGGACAATTTTGAATTCGCAAGGTGACCTGCCTTGCGAATTCCAAAAAGAGACAGACACATGAAAAATAAAAATCATCACTACAAACTTGAAGATATATTTAATTGAATCTGTACAATTTCAGAAGTATTTATGGAATTCGCAAGGTGGTTCACCTTGCGCAGCATACAAAATTGCCTATTTCACCTTGCTTTTTCTGGTTAATGGAACATCATTTGAAATATATTGAACAGCGTGTGAAATATACACCCTGGGGGGTGACATATACCGGACATTAGTCGAAATATAATGCAACGAAGTAGGGTCTGGACGAAATATATCGAATTTTCGGCGAACATAACGCATAATTACTTGAATCAGTTGTGCACCGGACGAAATATACCTGAAATAACCTGAACTTAAACGAAAAATGGTGTACTGTAGTATTAATACTAAGTTACTCCGAGTACGTAGTACTGCTACTGTACGTCTCACCTAATTTCCTGGATAAAAGGGAAATTATCTTTATGCGTAACTTTGAATAGGAAGTACTCGGAGTAGTTCAAGTATTATATATAGTAGTAGTAGACGTTTAAAATAATATAAGGCCCAATTGAAGATAAAACAACCCTTTGAGAATTGTGTAAATCGAATATTATACTTTGGGAATTATTAAAAATGACAACATCAATGCGTGAAGATCCCTCTCGACGCTTTATTAATTAATGTTATTACTCCCGATCATCACAACACTCTAAATATACTTTTGTCAGGGTTTATGGGGTGGTTGTTAACTACAGTACATAGTTATGGACTCAATCGAGTGCGTCTTTACACCGTCAACGTTGGATTTCATTTCCGTCGCTGTCCCGCACCAAAGGAGTCCTCATCGTCCTCGTCAGCTTCTTCGCTCTCGCTGGACGACGACGCGCTCTTTTCTACATCGTCGTCTTCCCCTTCAACATCGCTCAGGGCGTCGCTGCTGTCGCTGGATTCGGCCGAGTCGTCGTCGTCGCTGTCGTATTTTCGCGCTTTGGCCTTGGCTTTGCCCTTTTGGCCCCCCAAAACTCGCCCAAAGCATTTGGAGAGCACGGTTTTCATGCGCTTGGCTTCGGTAAACACCAACGTCCCCGGCTGATTGTACGTCATAGCATTGTCCACCACAAGCATGTAGTCATCCTGCGTTCAAACCCCGTGAGTCAACAAGAAGATCAGGGAAGAGAAACAATGTCAACGTACGTAATACGCCGACAGCGACGGATACTGCGGAATCTTGGCTTTCATGGTGGCAAAGTCCATGGGCTGGGGGATTATGGCAGAGTACCCTGGGGCAATGTCGTCTGTGACAGGGTGGGCAAAGATCAAGTACGCGTCTTCGGCTTGGGCGTGGGTGTGCACTTGGATCAGGCATTCGACGAGTTTGCCTTTGGCCACAGCTTGTTGAAACGCTTCTCGTTGGGCAACGGGCAGCCGCATGGTTTGCATCAGACGTTGGTCCCGTTCCGCAGTGCTGCGTTTGCTGGCGTTGTGGTGGGTTTCCAACGCGCGCTTTAGGGGGCGGTGGCGAGCTGGAGGTTGAATGTTGTGGTTTGTGGCGGTGGTGGCCACCGCAGCCGGCAACTCGACGCGCCCAGCCTCGACCACGGGCTCGTCGTCGTATGTCAGGTCTGGCAGCCACGCATGCGACGGAAACAACTGATGCAGCAGCGTCATTGTATTGGTGAGCACACTGCGCGCGTTTTGAGCAATGAGGCTGCTCTCGACGTTGTACGTTTCGCAGTTGCGCACCATGAGCTTGACGTCGGCGAGCAAGGCGTCGACGTGTCGATAATAACTCGACTCGACGCGCTGGCAGATCAAACTCAAGTCCATCGGGTTTGCGATCGTAATGTGGTAGTCCGGCGTCGACGTCGGCACGGGCTCGTTGAACCCCGCGGCCACCGACAGTTGCCGGATGGACATGAGTCCTTGCAGCAGCGCCGGCCGTTCCGGAATCGTCGGCGGGGCAAAGTGGGTCTGATCCGACTCGAGCTCCCACGGACTCACTCGACACGGCGTGTCCTCGTTCTCCCACTGTACGACGATGCATTCCCACGGAGACATGACAGCCGGATCCAATGGCGACAGGTCCAGGATCCTGCCCGTGTCCATTTGCGTGGCTTGGATCATACCGTGTTCGTCCATCGTATGGTACGCCATCTGCACGGTCGCGCCCACCGCCCACCGCGGCAGTTGGAACCCGCTGAGGTACTTTTGCTCGAGCAAGAGAAACTCGGCGCATTCGGATGGCTGATGTTGCAGGTGAAAGCGCCACTTGGGTCGAGTCTCGGCCTCGTCCTGGACAAACGACCTGTTGACAGGCACAAACGAACCGAAAGCCAACACGTCACAGTGTTGCTCGTCTTGAAAATACACGTCGGGCAATCCCGTGACCTCGAGGACCAACTGCATGACGATGCGGTTCTGCTGGGGGTACAGTTCTACTCGAGGGAAATCAAACTGAATGTCCACGACGTGGCACTGCAGCACGGCAAACGGCCGGGGCAGGCGCCTGAACGCAGCTTGGAACTTGGATGGAAAGCTCCGTAGAAACACGGCATGGCCTTGCGGGCAATACACGAGCGTGTCGCCAACTTGGGGAATGAGTGCCAACTCGTGCGAGACAACACTTTGCTGGCAGTACAGACGGTCGTACTGGTGCCCCATCCGCCGGATAAAACTCTCGGGCGAGATCGACGACGGATGGTGGTTGTGGGACGCGGCCGACTTGGCGGCGTGGGTTTTGCAGAAGTACTGGACGTGGTCCACGTTGTAGCCTTGCACCATCCCACAGGGCAAGTGAATCGTCACCTTGCACGACTCGGTGTTGCATCCGATGGTCGCGCCCTTTTGGCCACAGTGGAAGCACTTGAGCAGTCGTCCGCGGCGCAATTCCTTGGCCACGTTGTACCACGATCCGTCGTGGAAGAAGCTCAGCGGGGAGCTGATGGCGCACTGGTCGTGCACAAACACGCGCTGGGCTCCGTTGACGAGTGCAAAGTCCCCCATGAGCGCTCCGGGCAGGGCGAACATGCCGCCCTGGTCGCCGCGACCGCAAAACCCACACACAATCGACGACTTTTGCGCAAACATTTGAGAGTACGGCTTGGTCTCGTCAAACTTGTCGCGCAAGTTGCCCGACACGGTGACGCCTTCGGAGGACTCGACGACCAAGTAGTCGTTTTCGCGATAATCGTCCACGGCACCACCAGCAGGAGCAGCATCATTCTCGTCCGACGGGAGTGGCGATGGTTCCGATGGGTCGTCTTTGGTTTCTTCGACTACATTCGCTTGAGCCCGGGCGACAAGTCGGCGGCGTCTCCTTGTGGGTGGTCGAACGTCGTCTTCATCTTCGCTTTGACGAGCTCGTCGCTGGCTGCGCAGGGCACGCGAGTCTGAGTGATTGGTTGGCATGTAAGATACAAGTCAAAACAGACACGAACGAGGTACTACCACTTCCGTTCAACACGACGTCGCCGTCCAACTCGTCCTCGCTGCCAGCGTCGTCATCCTCGTCCATGTCTTCGTCCTACAAGAGCTGTTTTTACAACTCCATGAGGTACGCACAACGTCGCAAACCTCGTCGTCGTCGTCGTCTTCCACCTGAGCTGCCTCGTTCACTTGAAAATCCTCGTCGTCGTCTTCGCTGGACGGCAACACGTCGTTCAACACGGACGTGTCGCGGTCAGTCGGGTCCTCTGCCGGTCTTTGTTGGCGGCGGCGACGGAGCTCGGACGCCTTGACCGCGTCACCGTTCAACCGATACGCGTGCACGGGGGCTGTTGCCCGATGATGAACTAGCGGCTTGGCCGGTTGTTCGTCGACGAAATTCGCGTCCACAAACGGCTCGGTTGCGTCTTGGTCCACGATACTGTTGAAGTATGGGGTGCTAATCGTGTGCTTTCGACGGAGGTCGACGTTGGTCTGGTACTCGCGAGGGCTTAGCGGCTGCATGAGATGCAGCGGTTGGTGGGGATACACGTTGCGCCCCATGTCCATGAGCACCGAGCGAGGGAGTAACTGCGGTTGGACTTGGGTTTCGCGGTCCACCACATTCAAATGGATGTCGAGATCGATGGGCGCGTAGTCGTTGGAAAAGTACTGCTCCGTGGGGGTGCCTTGGAAAGCGTCGCCCGGTCCCGTGCCGAACAGCATGAGCCGACCCGCGCGATCTGTGGCCGCGAACTCGTCACCGGAGGGAGAGAAGCTCACGTCCAGGATCGCACAGCCGTCCGTGTTGATGGGCGACTCCCAGTTTTGGAACGAGCGCAAGATGCGGCCGACTTGAATGTCCCAAATGACAATGCGGCCGTCGTATCCCGCCGTGAGCAAGATACGCGCGTCCGTGGGATGGCTGTCCATGGCAAACACGGCGTTCGCGTGACCGAGGGTCTCATGCGACAGCGTCCGGATGGGTTTGCATGCGACGGGGTCCCACACGCGGAGGGCCTGGCACCACTTGCCCGTCACTTCGGGTTTGCGGCTGTGCAAGGTCACGAGCGTGGAATCGTCCGACGTCCAAATCAGTTGGTCCGTTGACAGCTCGGACGACGTGCGGCGAGTCGCCAGCAGCATCTCGGGGCCGTGCAAGATTGTGTGGCTGACTTTGCCAAACTTCTTGGACCATTTCCACAACCGCGAAGTGCCTAGAAAATATAACGTTTCAATCATATGTGGAACGGTGGTGACACTGTTGTTTTGTGCGTACCATCCTTCATGGATGCCGTGGCGATAGCGTCCCCGCGTCTGTTGAACAAGAGCGTCGTGATGGATTGCGTGTGGCCGTTCATGACGGCAATCGGGTTGGACACGACAACGCTGTTGGCCCAGTGCGGATTCGCGGCACCAGGGACGTCCGGGGCTGCCACCACACGTTGCTGGACAACAAAGTTGGCCGTGGACACTTGAACCTGGTGCGGGATCGAGTTGACGACTGCGTCCACTTCGTCGACCGTCGTCGCCTCTGGAACATCAGGGGGAGTGGATTCCGCTATAAACTCTTCAATGCTCCATACACGCCCCATGCCGTCTTGGCTGCCCGTCGCCACAAAGTCGCCTCGGGGACTGGTCGACACACAACAACAACAGGACTATTAGACCCCCGCGCACTGCACCAAAAGTTGAGTGTGCGTACCTGAAGGCGAGCGACACGACTTTACTCGATCGGTTCAGTCGCGCGGCGTTGGTGTGGTTGAGCACGACGAATGGTTTGATGTTCCGGCAGTACGCTTGTTGTTTGAAGAGGCGCTGGACAGTCTCTGTCTTCGACTCCGACCCGCCCGACGACGGACCGGCGACGACGGCAGGAAGGCGAAACATGCAGCACGTGCCGTCATCCGACGCGCTCACGACGACATTTTGCACCGGATGAAACCGACTCGTGTTGACGTCGCTAAGAAATAACAACATGTCAGTCGTGAAACCACCAAGCATGGACCAACATCTCGGGTCGATGAGGTACCTTGTGTGGCCGACCAAGACGGCGATCGAAAAACCCGTCGAGATCTCCCACACTCTGGCCGTCTTGTCGTCGGACGAGGTCACGAGCAGTCCGTTGGACGGATGCACGTCCATGTCAGTGATGTTGCCCACGTGCCCATGCAGCGTGTACAGCAGCTCCCCAGTGAGCGCCGACCAGATCTTGACGAGGCGGTCATCCGCCCCCGTGATGATGTACTTGCCAGTCTTGTCATACGTGACGCAAAACACGGGAATTTGCAAGTGCCCGCTCAACGACTTGAGTTTGCGATAGCGACTGTAGACAAACTTGGGCGGCGTCGACTGCAATGGATGCAGCGACCGAGGATGGGGGTAATGATGGGACTGGCCCACGACGCTTCGTTGGCGCAAGTGGCGAAAGTAGTTGGTCGTGGGGGTGACAGTGGTAATCGCATGCGTTAAGCCCCATGCCTCCACTCGGCGCCACACCGACCGACTTGTGTGCATGTCGCGGTCGAGTTGAGTTTTCAAGTCCACCAACTGCTTCGCCCCTCGATGCTCCGCCACAAGGTCCACTTCGTCCGGCTCAGACATGTGTCGCTTGCGGAGGTTGATTTTCTCCAGCAACAACGTGATGTTGTGGACTTTGCGCTCGTTCGTTCGTATGTTGCGCCACAAATGGATCAGCGTGTCCAAGGCACTGCGGCGTTCTTCGCTCGTGGATGCCTCCACTTCTTGGCGACGCATCAACCCGTCAGCTTTTCCAGCTGTGCTGCGACGCAGAAGCGACACGAGCTGGGTTGCAGGGAGGTTGCGGTGACGTAGATGCACGTCCGCGTAGGTCGCACGTCGTTCGTCTCCTTGCCAATTCACTGCCGTACGCAAAAGTCCCAAAGCATGCAGCTCCTCTTCCAGCACAGAAGCCGCTCTGGAGCATGGCGTCGCTCGTCGGAGAAAGTCTGCCACAAGAAAGTACACGTCGCTCAAGTCCTCGTGTCCTGATGTCGATTCAGCTGCGCCACGTGTGAACGTCAATGTTGTCGTGTCCACTGCATGCTGCTCCATGGCCATGGATTGATGACCTGCCTTCGGTGTACCAGCCATCAAGCTTCTCCCACGAGCATTGCCATTAAGAGGGAGTTGTGGCGCCGCATTCCGCCGCTCCGAGTCTGCGGCAGGTTCATTCATTCTCCAATCGAAATCTACCAAACTACGGCCGACAGTACTTCGACTGGTATTTCTCGGTATACAAACTTTCATATAGCGATATGTGCGGTTCAAAATATCGACTCTGATTGGCCGAAAGTGGCGCCGAAACCCAAAAAGCGCGGGGAGGGAACTTCGAAGTACCATGTTACCACCGCATCTGTGGTATGGAGGTGGATGCCGACGACGGTCGAGAGGGGGCAGGTTCCAGAAGAAGAACCAATGCAAACCCCGTCTATCGAATCTCAGGATAACATACGAAGGATGCATCCTTTCAATGGAGCGGCATGGTCCATGTGGGCACGTTCAGTTGAACGTTCGCATCCTTCAGTGATTTTTGGCGCCAATGAAGTTGAAGTTTGCTGGCGTTCATAAACCCAAAATGTACAGCGCAAACGATATCTTGAAGGGGAATATACGTATAATCGCACAATGACCCTGGACTGGGAATTCAAGGTTTGTTTACCAGTACAGTAGAGTTGATTATATCGCTCAATTTAGATTGTCCAATACAGGTCGAAATAGCAATATCTTCCTGTCACCATACAGTGTCCTTACTGTTTCCTTACTGCTCGTCCATGAATTATCGCTCGAAATAGTGTTTTCTGTGGTCAATTTTGGTCTCGTTTTTGGCCAATCAAACGTAATTGGTATAATAACCTTCGTTGATTCGTCAAAGATAACCAATCAAGTGTCGACAGCTTGACTTTATGCACAACCTTTTTGAAGAAAACACTGAAACTGTCATCTCTTACCTTTGATATTTTGACACCAAAACGAGCTTTTCTCGCCGTTGGCACTTTTCAACTCCTCCAAGATGGACGAAATCTTGCAGGCGACGTACTTCACGAGCATGATCGCGAGTAAGACGAACGCAGCACTCTCGGCCGACAGTCGCGCTGCCATCGACGACATCCAATCGTACTGCCATGAGCTCAAGTGCTGCAAGCGTCCCACCAAGTTTGTCAAATGCTTGAAGGACCTGTTCTTGTTCGAGATGTTGTTGGGTCTCCTCGACAGCCTCTTGCTCGAACCATCCGTTCCTGTCGTGGCCTCGGCACCGCCCGAGATCACCAAGGCTCCAAATCGAATGGTCCAGCGGAAAACTGCCGACGGACAAAACCTGTGGAAACCATTCTACTTGGATGACGAGCCCGGACGACGACCTCCAACGTCAACCCCGTCAAGCAAGACGTTGCCAAAATCGTGCCACACGGAGCTTGCCACCCAAGTGTTGCAGCTGTGGTTGGCGCTTGTTCAAGCGTGCACGACGTTGAGTGTACCGGCAGTGTACTTTGACGACATCAAGCATCACATCCTGCACCCGCGCTTCTCCCTCATCTTTGAACGGTGGCTTTACAACCCAACGGCAGCCCATGTGTCGCTCCATGTGGACCTCTGCGCCGCCCTCGTCGCGATCATCGTGTACCTGCACAACCATCCGTTCTTCGACGCGTCGTGCTTTCTCCAAGCGGTCACAGCCAACAAGACAATTCCCATTCGAACGTGCTTGAGCTCGTTCTTCGAGGTCGTGTCTTCGTTCCCGCCGCACCACACCATCCACAAGACGTTTGCAAACTCATGCTGCCTCGAGATCAAGTTTGTTCGGCCCGACGACCTCCAGCCCACACCCGCCCCCATTGGCACGTACCAGCAAACGATGGACGCGCTCAAGTTTGGCTCGTACGCGTTCGATGAGTCGTACTTTAAGACTGTGACGTCGAAACCGCCTTCCAATCGAGTCGTCGTCCCTGGCGCCATGCGCCGCTTGAACCAAGAGCTGGCCGCGTTGCCGGACAACCTGCCGTTGCATGAAGGCTCGATGATCGCCTTGCGCGTAGACGAAGAGCACCCGCACAAGCTGTCGGTGCTCATCACCGGGCCCAGCAAGACGCCGTACGACTCGGGGTGCTTCCACTTCCTCCTCGTCGTGCCGGACACGTACCCGCAAGCCCCTCCAACCGTCAAGTTCATGACTACTGGCGGCGGATCCGTCCGATTCAGTCCAAACTTGTACAATTGCGGCAAAGTATGTCTGTCGCTGCTGGGCACGTGGACTGGCGACCCGTGGAACCCGGTCACGTCGACGATATTGCAAGTGCTCGTGTCAATCCAAGGTGCGATTCTCGGCGCCGAGCTGCCATACTACAACGAACCTGGTCGGGAGCGGCAGTGGAGCGGCGCGGTCGCCCAACTTCCGCGTGATGTCCGCGTCAACGAGAACGGCGGCCTTGAGCCGCTTCGCCTGGCCACCGTCCGGTTCGCGTGGACAATGGCGATGAAGCAGCCGGCGCTGGGCTTTGAGTCTCTCGTGCTCGAACACTTTTGGCTCAAACGGCATTATGTGCTGGGAACGATGAAGCTGTGGCTCGAAGAAGCGCGCGCGTCCGACACCCCCAACTATTACGACGACATGTGCCGCCGTGTCGGCGAGTGTTTGGACGAGCTCACGCCCCTGGTCGAAGTGCGCGCCACCAAATTGGAACTGGCCATGTACCACGAAGCGACGGCGCCACTCAAAGCGCGGTTCCCCGTCGTGTTGTGTTGAGCTTTTTTGAATAAATAATATTACATGATTGCATACCTTTATACCGTCTCGGTCGGATTCGATAGGGCCAAAGCTTGGGTGATGACCACAAGCTTGATTATTCCCCTTCCCCATAGTAGAACGTGGCAGCAAAGGTTGGTATGACACAGGTCATCTACCAAGTATCGACTTTTGACCATTCAAACTCAAACATGATTTGGACGCCAAGTTTGAAGGATCCAGACAGGGGAGTATTGAATGCACTCATGTACATCTTCAAAGGGCAAGGTGACCATGTGTGTGTGTGTAGTTTGTAATTAGCACCACTGTTCAGCCAAGTTCATGGTACGACTAGTGAGGCTCCTCCATGTTAGTTGTTCAAATGACGTTAACGTATGCCTCGTACGAGAGATTACTCGCTTAACGCATGGTGCCATATGGGGGATAAACTGGACTCGTTTACTCTTGGTGGTGCAATTTACACTTGACCAGTACTACTAGTACCAGATCGTACTTCGTTTGCATCGTGGGGGAAATGCCGTTCGTACGTACACAGCTGAAACACGTTTTGGGCCAGCACCGCGTGGGCGTGGGCCGGCCCAACTACGTCAAGCGACACCACCCCTTTGCTCATCACGGACACGTCTCCCCGACGTGGTTGGTCTTCCAACTCGAGGAGGTTCATGTGGTACACGTGGGGACGGCCGAGGCCGATCGCGGCCTTGTCGCAAACGACGCGCGCAAAGTAGAACGCCGACCCAGTGTGAAACCGATGGAGCAGTACGACGCGAGGCTGCTCCGCCATAGTCACTTCAAACAGAACGGTGTCGAGGTCCACAAGTCGAACCAGCTACAAAGAAGTCGTGTTGATAACACAGCGTGTGGTGGCATATTACACGAGCCGAGGTGACGGTCTTGCCCATTTTCGAGATGGCCTGCACGTTGGCGTACATGGTCCACATCTGGAGCCACAGGTCGACCGCTGGCGCCGCAATGTGGCGGCACACTTTGGTCGACTTGTACTGCACGCTTGACTTGGTGGCGGCGGTCGCGGACTTCCACCCGTCAGTGCTGTCGCTCGAAGTGTTGGCCACCGATGGGAACGAACGATAGTCGGACGACGTCAACAACGTCGACTTGAGCTCGTCCAGATGCGACTGAATGAACTGGTCGTCGTAGAGCAAGGATGGCATGTCCGTCAGACGAGGCTGCAGCGATAGTGTGAGTCGGATGCAACTGGTATGGAATACGTGTACCATCATACGAAGCAACGACTCGTTCATGGCGGCGCGACGACGCAGCGCGTCTAAGAGGAGGTTGTTTTGGTGCAAATAGAACTGAGTGGACGCCGCAAGTCTGTCCAAACGAGCATCCCATTTGTCCAACGAGCTCGACGCTACATGGGCATTGTACACGGATTCTAAGAACGCCACTTGCTCTTGGAGATCTTGCATGACCCTCTAGTGCACATCATTCCGTGATCCTGTCGATCTTTACAGCTAGCCACTTACATTATTCATGGCTCGGTGTCGGCGCATGCTATTGCGCACGATTTCCCGCCGCTTTGTCAGTGCCGTCACCTCGGCCATCGCCAACTTGACCGACGGAGTTGTGTCCGTGAAATGCAACTGTGATTGACACCAAATGTCATCAGACAACACGTTAAATCGAAAGTAGTAAGCGTTTTACGTATACGTTTAAACGTATTGGAGGATTAAAGAACCGCCTAAGCCAATCAAATCACTTGACCCCTCCGCATTGGGCAAAACCACATATATACTACTCGTTGTATCATATAGTTTGTTCAAGCTTAAATGAGGTTAAATGGATTCGAATGCTATTTGGTGAAATGCCAAATTTGGGTGAAATGCACTATAACATTTCAAAAACAATATTCCACTTTCTCGCAAAATGGGATCAATTTGTAATATGGCGTTTTGGACCACTTCAACGAGTAAATCCCACGTGGAATTATAGGATTTGAGTTAAATCTCGTCAAGCAAAACATGTTTTCAATTTTGATCAGAACCAAAATGCCATTTTCAAAATGGAGGTAAAACGTCCATATTTGTTGAATTCGGCCCCAAAATGACGTTGCCAGACGGGCTCTTACATAAATATATTTTCCAAAATTCGCTGTTTCGCATGTCAAGGACGATTAATACTAGAACTTAATATAAGAACTATAATATTAACGTTATTGATATTAATAATAAACACGACTAATACAACAAGCGCCACGAACAGTTCGTATTTCCGGTAGAGAGATATAAATGGATTGATTAGCTTGGGTTTAACGGTACTTTATTGAATCGTGCAGTTCTTCTTGGCCTTTTTGGGCTTCTGGTCGCTCGCAGAAATCGCAAGTGGTTCCGATAAGGCGGGCTGGCGAAGAGGGGGTTGGTCAGGTGCCTGTCGGCGGGTGTTGGACGCCGACGATGTCCGGCGTCCCTTTGGCCGACTCGAGTCTATCAAGAGAGGCAACTTCATGTTGGCAGCGACCACATGCTCCAGCCCTTCGCCTCCGTACGACACGGTGGGCAAAATCTCACAAAGCCCAGACGTCATAGGGTCGAACGACCCCCCCGCCGCTTGGATCCATTTCTTGGCAGCGTTTGAAATCATGTCGCAGGCCGTGTCGGGGGAATCCACAGCGCTGCCCTTGGCGTTCTTCACTGGTGCAAACTCTTCGTCCCGCGTCACTTCAAAGACCTAGATACAATGAATATATCACTATATATATATATATCAATATATTTCATACCTGCATGGCTGTGGCGTACTGAAACACGTCAAAGATAAACGCTTCCAACTTGATGCCGGAATTGGTCGTGGGCGTGACCACATTGCCCGTTTCTAGACTCACGTACGGAATCTTCTTGTGAGCTACGTGGTACACGGTCATGTTGTCGCTGCGGCAACACTTTTGCAAGAACTCCCTACACAAATATATCATTGATTTAGCCACGGCATGGCAACCCAAGAAATATATATACATATAGACGGCAAACCCAATATATATATATATATGACGTACAAGGAATAAAAGTGGTTGCAAATGTTGGCGGCGCCGTACACCAGTTGGTTGGTCTTGGGATCGCGAAGTTCGCTAGTGGGTTTGTCCATTTCGCTGTATTCAACGACACAATACTGGCCTCCGCGCTTGGCGACCACGCCCACACTCTCGTCAGGACGCGACTTCCACACGACTTTGTTGCCGCAGTCGGCCTTCTTTTCGATGCAGTACCCCATGAACACTGGGTCGGCCACTTTGCACATGGCATTGTCGACAGAAAACACGTGCAAGTACTCGGTGCCTTCAGCCTTCATCCGGTCCAACGCGCCGCTCTTTTCCAGCGCCGTGTACACGCCTCCGTTGCCGTCCGACGCCGTGGCCAGCTTGCCCGCACTCTCGAGCATCAATTTGCCTACAAACGATAAACGATACGAATGGCATTCAACACACACGCATCGTACCTTGTTTGGTAAAGCAGGGCAGCGTGCCTTGGGGAAAGAACACGACCTGCGACGGCTGGAGCCCGAAAAACCCGTGCTGCTTGAAAAACACTTCGGTCGCGTCGTGGTTCATGACGCTGGTCATGATGTAAAACGGAATCTTGCCCGCGACGCCGCCGCCCAACAGCGACTCGAGGCGCAGAATTCGTTCGCTGAACAATTGAAACAGACTTTTCTCCGACGGCAACCCAATGTTGTACATGCCTTTGGGACCAGCAAACCCCAAGCGAGTGCCTTGGCCACCAGAAAGCACCAGCGCCGCCACTTTGCCTTGTCGAATCGCATCCGACCCGATGTTTCGCCACGCGTCAATGGTCGACGCGGGGGTCGTGGCAACCGCGTCCGTCGAGTCCAGCGGCTCCAACGAGCCCGTGACCGACGCGCCGTCGGACAGCATGCTCGTTTCAAAGATCGAGCTCAAATGGTCCAAATCCAAGTGTTCCAACTAGAACACCACCACGGGAATGAGTGTCTACAATATATGAGAAGCTGCTTACGTCTTGAATCAGTTGGTCGATCTCGGCATTCGTGAGCTTTCCAGCTTGGTAAAACTAGGGCCACAACGTGAGTGGGGCAAAATAACGATACTCTTTCAAAGCACCTTCAACACGTGGTCTTGCTTGGCTTCAGTCAACTGGTCGATGATGACTTGAGGTATCACCGGTGTGTTGACACGGAGTGACACACTGGTGGTCAATAATTCCTTCAACGTCGCACCCACCGACGCCAGCGGCTTCTCGACCACCAACGACGACGGAAAGCTCAGCGTCTCACTGGCAATTCGATCGACCATGCCGCTCAAGTCGGACGCTGTGAAGATGGGCACCGCCCCAATCAAGTTTTGAATCGTCACAGTCTTGATGACGGCTGCCGTCGGTTGGTGGAGGGTCACGCTCACGTCAATCGCTAGATTCACGTCGAGGGCGGTCGCGGCCGTGGCCAACTCGTGTGCTTCCGCCACACTCTTGACAACGGGAATGGTGTTTTCAAGAAACGCAAACTTGTGTGGATCGTTGGTCCAAATGCCAATCCACGCCGCCCCTTGTGCTGCACACAACTGCGCCAAGACGTATCTACACCAAGAGTTCTTTAGTGTCGAATATATATATCATATGATTCACAAATTTCGAGGAGGGTAAAGTACCCAATGTCACCGTAGCCATGCGACACAATCAGCACCCGGTCACCCGACTGGACCTGTTGCACGAGGTGGTGCGCGAGTAAAGTGGTCACTGGAACGTGTGCCGCCAGCGACAGCGGCATACTCAAAGGCAACTTGGCCACGCAGTCATTCTCTTGCACTTTGACGAACTCGCTCCATCCATTTTTAGCGATCAAAGCGCACACGCGGTCGCCGACTTTGAACTTGACCACGTCGTTGCCCACCGACGTCACAACCCCCGAGATCGCGAAGCCAGGAACGCCTTCTGGCTCGTTTGCCCGCAGCGCCACATCCAGGGGGGTCACGGCAGCAAATTTGGTTTCAATGACCACGTCGTGCGATTTGTCCACGACGGGGGCCGCCTCGCTTTCCGACAGCACGAGGTCCGGTCCATCGGCGACGATGCTCTTCATTTTCGAGTTGGAAATGAACGCAAACGACGGTACGTGCATACTCAATCGACGCGCAAACTCTTCCGAAACGTGGCACGGCAGCGAGAACTGACGGCCATTCAAATGCTCGAGGCCTTCCCCTTCATACGACACCAGCGGCGACACCTACACCAACCATATGATTTCGATCAGAACCAGTCGATATGGGAAAGGCAGAACGAGAACTACGTGTATACGTACTTCGCAGAGGCGTTCGTTGGCCACATTAGGCTGCAACGCTTCCGTAATCACTTGGTTCCAGTGGATCTGGTCGTCCTCGGACGGACACTTGAGTTGGAGCACTTTGCCGTTGCCCAATAACACGGACACACCGTAGTGTTCTTGGAGCTCGCACTTGACCACAGACGACGTCTTGGCCTTTTTCGACTTGGTGTCTTCCGACTTGTACGTGGTGATGCAGTTGGTCGCGGCGTCGAATTCGACCAACCGTTTGGACCAGCGTTTCAACCGCTTGCCTCGTTTTTCCAGTTCGCCTTTGGTCACCAAGTGCAATTTCAAATCTCCGCCTAACCACAGTAACCATCAACACAACAACATAAAGCAGCACGAGTAAGTAAGAAAGTGAGGTAGTTCGTACCCATGGCTTCGATCCACCGCTTGGCCTGGGCACTGAGCAAATATCGCGCCGAGTCGGGCGAGTCGGCCGTGTAGCCGTTGTCGGTGTTGCCGTTTGCATTCTTCACGGGGGCAAACTCGTCCTCCCGGGCCACTTCCAGCACCGCCATGTGCGTCGCGGCCGCAAAAATGTCAAAGATGAACGCTTCCAACTTCATGCCCGGGAACGACGTGGTGCTGGCGTCATGGATCGACACGGACGGGATGTTCTTCATGGCAATGTGGTACGGCAACTGCAAACTCGCCAACGTGCGCGTGAGGAACGGTCTATCGATAGAAAATACATGAATTATTACGTGATTAATTCTAAACTGCTCGAGCGACATGGAGGAATCGATCGAAAACACACATCCAAGTGTATATATTATCACCAAAGAAAGCATCGGCAGAAGTAGTAGTATTGAAACCCAATCAGATTGCAGTACAACAACCAGCATGGAATTCGTTACTAGTATATGACTTCAAATTAGGGTGGTTAGTTGTCATCACCACAGCTACAACTTTTTACATAACGTTACAAAATGCAGTACAAAAAATCCATCCATGATATTTTGTGAATCAGCATAAACGCAAGCTGAAAGGACAATATATATAATACAATATACAAAAGGACAATATATATATATATATATTACAATGTACAAAAGGACAATATATATATATATATATATTGTCCTTTCAGCTAAAATGGATCGTGTATATATATATATATATATATATATATATAGACGATGTTCGCTTGTCAACCAACAAGTCCAACATATCTCTCCACGAGAAATAATGATGGTTTCGTACACTGAAAAGTAGTGGTTGCATATGTTGCCTGCCCCGTAGACCAATTTGTTGGTCGTGGGGTCCACGAGCTGGGCATTCTGGGCGTCGAGTTCGCTGTACTCGACCACACAAAACTTGTTGTCTTTCTTGGCCACGACGCCGACCTTTTCGTCGGGGTTGGTCTTCCACACGACTTTGTTGCCAATGTCCGTCTGTTTTTCAATGCAATACCCGACAAACACGGGGTCGGCGACCTTGTTGAGCGCATTGTCCACCGAGAACACGTGCAAGTGCAAAATGTTGGCGAGGTTCATTTTCTGCAGCACGTGGTGCTTTAGCATGGCCGTGAACACGCCTACGCAGCACGTTTCGTGAGTCCAGCATGATGTAGGATTATCGACGAGGCAATGGATACCTCCGTTTCCGTCGGACGCGCGCGCAATCGAGTGCGGACTTTCGAGCATGATGCTGCCGGTCTTGGTCAAGCAGGGCAACGTGCCTTGTGGAAAGAACGTGACTTGGGCACCTTTCAACCCAAAGTAGTTGTTTTCTTCAAAGAACGCTTGGGTCGTGTCGTGGTTCATGCGGCTCGTCATGATGAAGAGCGGCACGACCGGGTCGTGCGCGACGCGGCCGTGCTTTTTCGCATTTTTCTGGACGCGAAGCACACGTTCGGCAAACAGCTGGAAGAGACTCTTCTTGGACAACAAACCAATGTCAAACATGCCTGTGGAAGAAGTCAAGGGCTTGGTGTGAGATGCTCATAGATGGGATAGGCAGAGAGCATCACGGTCAGCATAGTACCTTTGGGGCCATCAAAGCCCAACCGTGTGCCTTGGCCGCCTGCCAAAATCATGGCGGCAACTTCCCCACGATTGATCGCATCGTACCCCAATGCCCGCCAAGCCGCGATAGTTTCCGGCGTTGACGTCAGCACCGAGTCGAACTCGTCCAGCGGTTCAATGGAGCAATTGGTCAAACTCGCCCTCGCGCCTTTGTCAAACAACAGCGACTCCGTGTAAATCTGCTTGATGAACGCCAGGTCCAAATCCTCGACCTAATATTCAAATGAACGGAGGGACATGGACGGTTTTCATGGGATGCTGCTGCCACGTACGTCGTCGAGCAAGGTCTGCACGTCGGCATCGGACAACAACCCTTCCGTATCCACAAACTAACAACGCATCGAGTCGTTAGAACGGTCGGGTGACGTAAGGAGCGTACTTGGAACACGTCCAGCTGCTCGGCATCGCGGAATTTCGCGCGCGTTGCCTCTGGCACGAGCGGGTTCTCCCACTTTTTGGGTCCCATTTTCTCCTGCAGCAGTTGCAGGGACGGCGGCTGGCGCAAGGATGAAGAGAGGTGTGATGGCGACGCGGATGGAGAGGTAATGGTTGGAGGCAGTTCTGTGGGTTGGTCCATGTTGGCGATGGAAAGGCGGATGAAGTCCTGGCGGCGACTTGGCGTCTGAGGGGGAAATGAAGGTGTGGGTTACACGTTGCATATTTTTAGAACTCCTCGGGAAATCCGGATAAACCCATCTGCCAGAATGGTGGTAATGTCACTCAATACTGAATTCCAATCACAATGCATGTCGCGGGATCATTATCCGGATGATTTGTCGCCCTGCAAGCGTCGTGGCGTCGTTGAAGTTGCACGAAGCGCCCAGTGACTCGTCGACATCACGACGTGGCGACAAAGATCGTCAGATTTATTCATGGAGGCAAGTGTTGATGGAGAGGTGGGAATAGCTCAATGGGAGTGTGGCATTCATTCGCTTGGGGTGGACTTTGGAAGGCCCCATGCAGAAGCGTGAGATCAATAGACGTCATTGCACGCCCACCCAATGAGTGTAACGCTAGAAGCTGCCAGTCATGGACAAGTTTTGAAATAAAGTTCACGCGCGCCAACGATTCATGTGGTGTGGGGAACGTTATGAAACGGTTGGCACATTGGTAAGACTAAACGTCGCAACGGTTACACGCCCAGATAATCAAGAGCCCGTCCAAGTACATACTGTACTGTAGGCCACGATGCCCATGAACAGTCGGCAGTACGAGGTAGTACCCCGTCATTGGCACTGGCGTCCTGTAGACGGGTATGCAAACGAGTAGGAGCGCATCAACAAGCTGGAGGCGGCACTAGAAATGGCTCGCTTGCGATATCAATGTGCGTGACGTGGCATGTCGTCTGTGTGGCTGACATCTTAAGCGATGCATAGCGCAATCTGGCCGCATGAAGTACATATTGATGCACTTGTCAACAATCGGACGGGACTCCATGCTGCACTCGTAGGACGTTTGAGGACGAGAACAAGACCCTCAAGCAAGACATTGCCGCCGAACGAGCCGAGCTGTACAGCATGCTCCTATAGATAACCCATTTGCCTTCTGTGACATGGTCATGTGACAGGGAAGCCATCTTGAACAACCGTCAAGTGAACACATTGCTGGACCAGTTGAAGGAAGAGCGCACGCAACGTCTCGTGGAGATGGAAGCTTCGCATATTCGAGAGCGGGAGATGCAAGCGTTGTCGAGCGAAGCCGTACGGCGCCTTCATTATTCACGTTGGCATCATCTTTTTGGCCACCTGTAGGCGGTGGCGACAAAAGGCGCGCTACTAGCGCATGAAGAAGCCGCGGGGAAACGGGCCGAAGTGAATGGCCTGCGTGCGTCCATCCGCGTGAGCACCAAGTTGCTGCACGTGCGTCCACCTTATGTCCAAACCAGCGCTAACCCCATGCTTCCAGATTGCCGAGCACGATTTCCACACTACCCACGCCGAATTGGAAGCCACACAACTGCAACTGCTCGACACGAGACGGTAGGGCGGCGTCGATTGACAGTGTCGTGCAGTGTCTAGAGTGATACAAAGTAGAAAACTCATGCAAAAGACCGACGAAGTGAACGTGTGGACTGACCGGTACAACCAAGCGATGATCGATCTGCACATGGCCCAAATGAAACTCACCCAAGTGTCCGTTGGGGCCAGTGCCAAAGAGTCTGCGCTGATGGTATATATATATATATATTCCAATCCCGGGAAGGACCCGACGTTCATGAAAGTGTGGAGTAGCGAGGCTACGGAATTGTACTTGCAGAAGCAGCAGGCGAGCCCGTGAGCATCCAACGCCAGCCATTTTTGTGTGCCAAAGGCGGTACACCCAAAGCACCTGTCGAATATGCTCACGATTCATTTTAGGCACGGCAAAGTTCAACGGCGCAAAAGCTGACCGGGCTATGGCGCGGCATAATCTGCAGATGGCACGAAGTGAATCGATACCGGCATTGGGAACAAACTCACAAGGAGGACACCGGCGGCGGCGGCAAGTTGACCGGATTCCGTTACCGCCATGTACAAACGATGCAGTCGATGTCGGGACTCCCCAGTCTGCTCCCGCCACACTCGAACAACCCAAGTATAGCAACTGCACTTTACCGCTGGAAGTACATATGACCTCTGATACTTGTCAACTCTAGGCCTCGGGAGAAAAGGGAAGCGCAACGCATTCAAAGCACTCGGTATGTGTGTACAAATGTCAAGATGTGTGTATTCGAATGTCCAGTCGTTCTTTGTAGTGACACGCAAGGGTCCAAGTATCTCGGGTATGGGCTCGGGATGCTGAAGAAGGACAACGTTGTAGCTGACCATCGACAGAACACTGTCACATGACTCTGTTATCAATGATACCGTGCATGAGAATCCAATGAATAAGGTGGGAAGGATGACGACTTTCAATCTGACGACACAAGGCGGCGTACGGTGCTGTCTCCACTCGCTTGGGCGACCCTAACGAATCGCTTGACAGTCGCCAACACGTCGCCCTTGGCTCGAAACACATTCAAACCACTTGACCCTGTCCGCGACGGCAACGTCCGGAATGTGAAGCTGCACTGGTCGGTTAAACGATGGTGGATGCGCATAAACTCGTGTTCGTGCTCAAGTCGCACGGGGATGCCCTTTTCAGGCTCGAGCAGCGACCATAGTTTCAGACTTCGCAGCACCACTAGCTGCACCATGGCCTCCATGGTCGGGTCGCCCACTGTTTTATTCGCTTCGAGACAACGTTCTACCCACTCGACGAGTTCCACGTGAAGTACACACCTAGCTAACGACGTTCAAACCACCACTCAATGTCGACAAAGTGTAGTTCATACATGGTGGCAGTGAGGTCACAGGCGAACGTGGGCAGCAGCACCTCAACACACGCCTGGAGTGACACGACAAAGTCGACGGGGGTTAGCTCGTGGCCACAGTACTGGTTGGCGTGACAAGCACTGGCACGGAGAAGCTGCAGCACCGGACACAGGTCGCCCACGTCTTGAAGCGATTGCACGTACTGCGGCATGCTCACGTTTAGGAGATACAGTCGAAGGGCGTTTTGGTTGTTCGAGTCGTTCGAATGGTGTGGGGGTTGGTGGCTCGGACAATCATATAGCCCGCACGCCACGTAGTCGCTTTCACGCTTGACACGAGACAACGCCACGTGGGCGTCCACGATTGGATAGTAGCTGGCCAATCCCAGAGGTCCCTCTGGGTCTAGCACGTTGAGCACAAATGTCCGCAGTGGGGACGATGCGTAGCCGCCAGTGTACAGGTGATACGCTGGGGCAGTCTACCGTCGTCGACAACATGAGCCACTATGAAACCACGAATGATTCGATTGGAGGCGTACCGTGGCCACCCATGTCAAGAGCGACGGCGCCACGCTTATGGAAAAGAACGACCGCAGCGTTTCCACGGCCGACACCCACGGCTTGTCGAGTTTGCTGCCAAACCAGTTGGACTTGGCCGTGGGTTTGGTTCGAAAGAGCAATGTGGACGCAAACAAGTGGGCGGCGGCGTGATCATGCTGGGCATACGCAGCACACGGGAAGAACTCTTGCAAAAACGTGGCAAAGATCAAGTGTGTGCCTCTCGCGAGGCCGCCCCAGACCGAAAACACGCTCGACAGGTACGCGTACACGACGTGGCAGTACTGAATCGTCGCCAGCGTCGCATTTGATTTCACCGACGGCGACGCCACCCATTGCTTTTCGTGTTGTCGATAGTCGCCCGAGTCGGCAAACAGTGCTTCAAGGTACGTCCAGTCGGGCGACGTGTGTTTGCAAAGCGACTGCAACGACGCACTGCACGCGTCCACCCACGACGCTAGCACCCCGTGATGCAAGTCCAGTACAATGGATCGCAAAGTATTGGCGTGGTCACCGCCGGCCGAGTTGTACCGGTCGAGTACATTGGTGCAAAACCGACGAAACGCGCTAGTTCGCTGGTCATATTGCATACCGAACGACGACGACTTCGAAGTCAAGGTGACGGTGCAACCAGTCAGGACATGCAGCAACGACGTCGCTGGTTGCGAGCAGCTCGAGAACCGCCCTGCCCACGCGTTCCAGTACGTTGGACACGGGTCCATCAACGTCAACAGCCACACTTGGACAAGCGCGACGTCGGGCTTGTTGTGTGTGGCCAGGAAATGCTCCATGTAATGGGTCGGACCGTTGGATATCGCAGTCGCGAGCACCCGTGAAAACACAAACACCGTCGGGCCGGTCGAAGAGGCTTGGAGAATGTCCCACTGGAACGTGGTCGCGTGGGCTAGTAGCACGCCCACGGCCGTGAGGACGGCGGTCGACGCAAATTCTTGCAAAGCCAACCTTTGCAAACTCACACGCAGCAACTTGACGACGCCGTCGGCACACTCGGCAAGGACGTGGCGGTAGTTCAAGGTCACAACGATGCCAGATGTGGACGAGTTGACAGCGTCCAACGATGCCAAGAGCGCCATCTCTTCGGGATCGTCAAACTCGTCGAATTCAGTAGATGGAGATGGTGGAGGTGTCATGGGCGTGTGCGGGCATAAACACACTAGAATCGACGTTGCCATGGACAGCACAGACCGGGGGAGCACTTTTTTAAAGCATAGTTGCAGCACATGGTCAAATCCAGTGTTGAGGATGCCCTGGACACACTCAGCCAACGGACGCAGCGATGTCGAGTCCACGGCAGTTTGAACCAAGTGTTTGGCGACTTGGAGAAGGCAGTGCAGCGCGAACTCTATCGCGTCGACTACACACATATAGATGAGCACGACGTTTTCAATCCCAGACATACCTGACTCTTGGGGGGATGATTGTTTGGTCATTTGAACTAACAAGTCATTGCATGCGCTGAGCAACGACGGCATCAACGGAAGATGGGCCTTCATGGCTGTCATAATGATCCACAGCGCATGCATCGCCGTCGTGGGGTTGCCAGGAGCTGCTGCGCGCAGGATTTCGTTCGTGTAGAAGGTCAAATCTCGTTTGAACGACTTGAGCTCGTCTGTCATGATGGTCGCAAGAACCATGCTGACGAGCACAATGTGGCGAACATGCTAAGGTGCAAATGATACAGTCAATATCCACCCATTGGACGACCTAAGGGGCTGTACATTGGGGGACGGCGATTCTACACTTGGAGGGGCGGGGGGCAGGGGGTCCGCTGGCTTTTGCATGGGGTTGGTCCAGTTCCACTTGGTCGTTTCAGCTGTAGACTGGTCTTGCCTTGGCTGGTGCTTGAGCGCATTCAAGACGGGGTGGCGAAACCGGTTTCGAAGTACGGGTTTGTCGAATTGGATCATTTGCATCTAACAACATATCGAAACCACGGTACGATATAGACATGGAATCTTATATGATGTGTTTGGGGGGGTGTACGAACCACAATCACACGACCCATCAAGTCGCTGCAGTCACTCGCGTCGATATCGTAAGTCAGAATGGCGTCGCGCTCGGTCGGTTCGAGCGCCAGTTCCATCAGAAACGAAGGTAACCGTGGGGATTTGATCCGCGGCGGCGACTGCATCAGCTTTAGCACGAGCATCACCACGGGGACTATACAGTCGACATCAACATCAACACAACGGCAGTACGCTGTACCGTGACTCGGCGCCCATGCAGCAGACAACACGAGCATCCGTTGCAAGATGCGCTGCCGATACATTTCAATCAGAGCGTCCGATGTTATGGATGCGCGAAACGTGTGTGAAAATGGCAGCGCGTCTGACCCAGACAGCAACCCCCCCACCAACATCCAATTTGAGGCTAACCTACCCGCAAATAAGGTGAGGTATATTTTATAGACCTCATGTAAACGAACAAATGTATAAATATATATATATGGATCACCCCCTGCTTACGTTTTGTCGGGCATGGGGGACAACCACACGACGACGTCCCAAATGGTTTCACGAACGAGCATGTCGATCTCAGGACCTGTGGTCGCGTGGGGGTACACCGACTTGGCGAGTGCTTTCACCGTTGGATTTTGAGCCAAGTGTTGGAAACACAGGGTTGACCACAAATCTGGCTGGTGGGATAACACACACTGCCACAGACTCAGCACCGACCGCGCCTCCTTGCCAACCGGGGTAAAGTGCATATGGTACTCGATCAGAAACAGCAGCGTGCGGTCCAGCATACCAGGGGGGTCCATGTCGAGTGCATGCCGATACAGCGTACACATGGTGTGGAGAAACACAGTCGACGATGACTCGGTTCGTTCAAAGTAAAAGTAATATGACGGCGAAGTTGCCAACAGGGTGTGGATGCGGGGAAGGCTGTCGAGTAACCATCGGATTTCGTCCAAGTTGATTGGCTCGAGCGTTGTATGCAGGCGATACAACTCGGACATGAGCGCCGTACATTTCTGGCTCATGCGCTCCAGCGTAGCGACTTCAATTAACTGTAGGAAATGGTATACGTCCTTGTGAATACAACGTGTCGATGCTATGTACTGGGGAGACATGTACAGTACTTACCTCTGACGCGCCAGCTTGTTGTTCCATGAACGTTCCTTCAGCATGTTGCAAGTCTACCAACCCATGTCGTAGGGTCCGTATGAGCTTGGTCACAAGCCCCAACGTTCGTGCAAACTACACCAGGGTTACAAGACTTTCACAGTCCAATCAAGATCATACCAATGGCAGCGGAGAATGGTACCAAGGCGGCAAGTTCAGACTCGATTGAGCGTCTGGCACGACCAACACTGTCTTGAGCAAGGCCAACTCGTCCTGCGTCGGCTGCCATCCACTTGGAATCACGTCCGACGTGTATTGCAAGATGCTTGACACTGCTGGGTCAAGGTCGTGGGTGCCGAGTGCAGGGGTGGGGGGAGGGCTGTTTAACACTGGAGGTTGCTTGTGTTGGGGACGGCGCAGGTTGGTGGCTGTGCTGTGGCCCCCAGGGTGGACAGGGGCTCGGTACACTCTGAGTTTCCACTTGGAAGGGTGCTTTGAAGAATGGCGTTTGGTTCGTGGGGCGCCGGTCCCCTCGTGTTGCTGGCTAGCTCGTCGCTTGTGCCTGAGAAGGCCCTTCCAATTCCACTCGGACGATGCCAAAATCGAAGGCGGGATGTTGCGGATCGTTCGCGGCAGGTACTCCTCCCTATATGATGCTGTTACTTTCATCATTCAGCAAGAAAGCAGTACCGGTCGATGGATGTGGTCGAGTGTATCGATTCTGGCAGTTTGTTCGTCTGTCGTGTATACGTAAAAGCACTTGGTTTTCGCCGTCGAAGTAGGGGTTTACTACTATCACGAGGTGGTAAATACGTCAGCACGGTCAAGTCATATGAACATCCCTTCTACTTCTTCGTACTACCTTTGATCATCGAGTCGGCCATTTCGATGCATAGACGCGTGAAACAACATGTTTGGTATCGATTCTTCCGCTGAAAACATCCGCGGGGTGTTGGCCTGTGGCTTGGTCGAGGCTGCCCCCCGTACTCTAAATTAGATTAGAATAACAATAATCAACCCCTCCGTCTACTCATTCGGCCGTGTGCCCACCGTTCATTGCCGTCGCTGTCGGATAACTCGTCGCTTGAAAGGCTGCTCGCTGCAACTGTTGTTGCCGACTTGGCGCGCCTTGGTCGATCGATTGTCGGACGAGATTGCCGCCATCTGTCCGAACCAGCTTCCGACGACTCGGACGACAAGCTGCCGCCAGAACCTTCGTCCTCCGAGGTTGGATCCACCGCCAAAGCCGACTCTCGTCGTCCCTTGACCCACACCGCGTATTCGTTCACTTGGCTTTTGCGCTGGTCATGCTTGAGGTTTTCCACGGCGCTCTAATGCATCCAACAACCATCATCACCTCTCTTTCGCCATGATATGATATTTTCACGATATACAAATATATAAACGACTAATACTATTAAAAATAACCCCTAGGTTGGGGATACGTACAACAGACTTGCCGTTGGCTTCGAGCTTTCGCAAGATGGCGTCGACAATGTCTTCTTCTCGCACGAGGTGCTGCTTGTGGAATCGTTCGAGCTCACGCAACTAGACGCATACGAGACATTTAGCAATCAAACACACTCTCCACTCCGTCGCAGCCGTACGTTGGACGACGCGTCGATCTGGCCACTGCGCATCGATTCAAACGTCTGCAACGCCAGTTCAAACGCTGTCGCATGCTGCTGGTACTGGAGCTTGAGCTCCTTGGTCGTTTTGGCCAGGGCGAACCCCGTGTCTTGCTGGACATCGTCGGGCAAGTCCATCGCGTTGTCTTCTGGCTGGATAAAGTTGTTGTCGCCGTCATATCCACCGACAAAGTGGCGCCGCTTCCGCTTCTTATGGCGTCGTGGGAGGTGGGGGTGGTGGTGGCGCCGCCGCTGCGGTGACAACCGACTGTCGTCACCGTCGTCTGAAGACCACAAATCTATTGTCACTGGCGATGACGGAGCTCGGGCACCGACGTTCTCGGCGGACGGGGAGGGCCCAACTGAGTGGGACTCGAGCACAGATGTTATCCCGTCGGTTAATGCATGGCTACGATGTGTGTCGGTAGGCAAGTCCTGACGTGTGGCGGGGGTGGGAGCTGTGGATGGCTTGACCAGTTTTCCCAGATTGTGGAAGCGTCGATACAGCGGAGTATCGTCGTCGTCGTCGCTCATGCTACTATCTCGGTCAAAAGTGTCGTTTGTGAGGTCTGTAGATGCCCCAGTTGCGACAGTCTTCTTGGCAACCTTTCGAGCAGCAGGTTTGGTGTGGACATCGACCGTTTCGATGGTCGGATCGGTTGCGGGCGGCGCTCGGGTGATGGTGTCCAATGTGGTGGTGTCGACCAACTGCCGGCGCGATGGAAGGTATTCGTCTGCGAACTCGTCGTGAAAAAAGTTGCGGGATCGACGCTGACGCGACTTCTTCTCGAAAATGGCCGATGGCTGCACGTACTCGATAGCTACGGCGCGCTCGGACCCGCCTAGGAAGTATCGGACGTCCACCACCGCCATGCCATCCTCGTCGTATGCTCGGGTCACTCGAGCCGCTCCACCGATCTTATTGATACCAGGCCATGTCCGATTCTCCACTTCAACCAAATCACCTTCGTTGAACCTGCGTGGCAACGATTCGGCGACCATTCCATCAAGAGCAGCAACGACATCTAATGCAGGCGTAGGAGACACTGCCGCAGAGACACTTGTCAAGGTCGTCGATGTCACCTTCTCCATGGCTAGCTGAGTGATTTGGTCGACTTCATTCCAGAACGAATCGTCTTCCGACTGCGAGTCGCCGACAAACTCGTCCGGGTCCATGGGATCAATCCAAAAATGCCGCGCACATTGCGAGTAAAATATATGCTTATATTTTCGTATTATTCTAATAACACAGCAATGTCGTTGTCGTCTAGTGGTTAGGACGCAAGCTTCACACGCTTGAGATCGGGGGTTCGATCCCCCCCATCGATATTCGTTTTTCTCAAAACTTTTTTTTCTTTTTGATTTTTCTATACTAACAGTAAGGTATTGGATCCCATCACTGGAATCGTCAGGGCGGTCCTACACAATGGCGACGCGAGTCTGAACTTGGTCAACTACGCCGTGGACATGGGCAAAATCTTCGCGATTGCATCGAATCGTGCCCCGATTTGATAAAGGAGAACGGGTTGTCGGCGGAAATGCAAGAGTATTTCATGCAGCGAGCAGGTACGACTGTCGTTTTGAGTGGTTGATCGATACAGTATGTGTGTGACCTTGTGGTTGTAACGTTAGTGAACTACTTGGAGCGGTACTTTTACCTGATCTGCTTTGCCTCGTACATTCTGGACTAACAACCCAAGCAGTTTCAAACTCTGTTTGTCAACTGGATGTGCTCGAGATACGACAATGCGCTGTACGAATATAAAACGTAATGATGCTACACTGTATAAATAATAACGTTATAGTTGAATCTAATCTTGAATCAATTACTCCGGAGTACGCAATAACTATGATTATTTAAATACATTTTTCAAATTTAATTACATGGTGCAAAGGAGCGACATTTACCGTAGGCAATGGCACCGATGGAGGTTTTTAGAGACAAGGGCTGAAGCAAGTGTCGAGGATTTCTTTCTGTTACTAGTACAAACCTTCCACTGACGGAAATGGACCATTCTCTGAGAGAACGTTTCACTTCCCATGAGCACACAAGTGGTACAAACGATTTGTACCACTTGTACAAAGCATTTTGTACAAGCACTCGGCTGATTTTCGAGTTTACAGTAAATGTCAATCATATGGTAAAGATGATTTATGTGGTTTAATTGGCCCAAATCACACGAATCACGATGGTTTCCAGGAAATTTGGTGTTTACGTTTACTGTCGACCGTAAAACGAGAAAATTTATCTTTCCTACCACTATTGTTTTTGTGCATTTGAATAACTATGATTGGACAAAATGTTTCGCGCGGTTTCACATTTATTCAAAGTGCACGACATACACGTCACAGGCCAAATGACTGCAGAACCACCACGTAGCCGCTCCAAGACAGGGCAGCGCAAGGTCATATCATTACGTTTCAAAGTCAAAGTAATTCAAGCTTACGAGGCTGCACTTGGCCCTGCCAAGACATTCTATGCAATAGGCAAGGCCTTCGGCGTGCAGACAGGCCTCGTGGAGTGAAATTACTCCAGAGATGATTCAAAAAGCTTTTCGAGCTTGTGATATGCAATAATACATGCAATTCAACATCAAAGTACATCATAGGTCAATTTCCTCGATTTCTGAAGTCTCGGATTCGTCTGAACATGGACTTTAAAATGTAGTGTCCACTGCACTCCGGAATGACATATCTCTCACAATACGATTTGTTTTGGTCTGAATTTTACAAGAAAAGCATCCATGAACTATAATAACTTGTGAAACACGATATCCATTATGAAATAATTTATTATATTCGAATGCAATATCCACAAGTGAAGCAGAAAATCAATTTAATTTTGCCTCTGTAATATAGTTATAATTTTTCAAGAGGGAGACTTGGTTCCCTCGATGCCCTCGCAGACTATCAGCTTCGGCCGTTGAGAGCGCGACGATACACTGCTTGCGACAGCGCCAAGAGATGGCGCACCCAGCGAACATGACGCAAACGCCGCTGATGGACTTCCGATCCGCCTCGTTCGCGAAGTCTGCGTCGCAATACGCGGAGATGTGTAGGCCATTGTCGGAGTTGGTGGCGTTGATGTTCAGCCCTTGATTCTTGGTTCCTTTGAGGTATCGAAGAACGCGCTTTGCTTGTTTCCAATATGTCTCATCGTAGGATCCAAGGAACTTGCTGAGATTCCGCACTGCGTTGGCGATGTCAGGACGCGTGGCCGTGACCAAGTATCGCAGTCCCCCGACAAGCTCGCGGTAAGGAATGACTTGACGGTCGACTTCACGTGGCGCCTTGGTTATGGGTTTGAGCACGTGTCCGACGACTTCTGGTTTTGCCACGGGATGGCAGTCGTGCATGTTGAACCTGTCGAGTAACGTGTCAATGTAATGTTCTTGTGATAAACTGACTTGTTTGTTCTTAATTTCGTTTGATACCGAGGATGGAGCTGAGCTGGCCGAGGTCGGTCATCTTGCATTTTGTCTTCAGTTGATTGCACGTTATTTCGATTGCTTCGTCATCGTTGCCCGTGATGGTGAGGTCTTCAACATATATACTCCACAGTACGAACGCTTCTCCCACCGCGGACAAAGCCAATGGACTGGAGGTATACGTGCAGCGTTAAGTACCAACAGCTGGGCGCTTGCTTCAGGCCGCAGATGCACACCTTGGTGTCGTGGCCTTGCTCAACAAAATGGGATGGCTGTGCCGTGTAGATCTCGGCTTTCTCATCGAGGACGCCGTTCGAAAAGGCGGTCTTGATATCCATTTGGCGGATCTTCCAGCCGTGGCGAGAGACAAGGCACAGAATCAGGCGCAAAGCGTTCATTCGGAGCACAGGTGTGAAGATTTCCACGTAGTCGATGCCGTACTTCTGCATGAACCCTTTTAGGAACAAGCGGGCCTTGAGTTTGTCCAGCTTGCCAACCGCATCGAACTTCATCTTCCTGATCCATTTGTATGGGAGCGCTTTTAGCCCAGTCGGCAAGTCTGCCAAGACCCACGTGCCATTCGACTTCAGCGAGTCAGATTCTTCTTGTATGGCTGCAAGCCAGGCATCACGATGTTGACTTTTGTAGATGTCCGCAACGACTTCGGCTCCTCCTTTTCCACGGTGAACGCTTCCAGTACGTAGGCATGTCGACTCGAGATTGCTCGAGGCCCTTGGTCCAACGCATCGATGAGGTCTGGCTCGTTGGTGTGGCCGGACATGAACATGTCGGTGTCGTCTTCGTCTTGTCCGGGCCTATCCACAGGCTCGTACAGTGCTTCGAATGGCGTCCGACCACCGAGTGCCTTGGTAGAACTTCGATTTTCCGTGTACACGACGTAGCTGAGTGCCTCACGTCAGTAGCGAAAGTCAAGTCCAGCTTCTTGAATGATGCATCTGACCTTGTTCACCAACGTGTAGTTGGCTTTCGGCAATGCAGTTCTCCTCCGGCGAGTAGATGTTTGTGTACAGTTGCTCGATGCCATGTCGATCACAGTGCGACACGCAGAACTGAGGTATTCCTTCGCGTTGTCGGTTATGACTGTCTTGAGTTGTGCCCCAAACTGACGTTCTACGAGGACTTGGAACTTGGGAAAGTTGATTGCCGTCTCGGATTTTGCCTTCATTAGGTACACCCACTTGAACCGAGTTGCTTCGTCAACATACAATTCGTAGTGGCGACTCCCACCGAACGTCGGCGGGGTAATTGGGACACCCTTGTCATGCGCACAATTTCGAGTGCCTGTTTCGCGCGGCACGGTGCCGTGTTGCGGTAGCTCATCCGGCGTGCCTTGGCCAGCATGCATGTCTCACAGTCGAACGTCTCCTTCAAGTCGCTGTCGCTGAGACTTGGTCCAATGATGACGCCATTGGCAATGGCTTGCTTCAGCGCGCCAAAGTTCAGGTGAGCAAACCGGCGATGCCATTGTACCAACTTCGGGATCGGTTGGCGTGCGATGATGACGTTGGCTTCCTCAACTGGCAGTGGCTTGAGTGTGGACGTTTCCAGCATGAAGAGGCCGTTCCTCAACCCAAAGTACAGCTGACTGTCAGTTGTGGGGTTGACTAGGATTTCCTTCTCAGCGTTCCAACAAGCAACGCTATAGCCTTCCTTGAGCAGCACATGGAGTGCAAGCAGGTTCTTGCAAAACCCAGGTGCGAACATGACGTTGGAACGAAGGAGCAACCAGCCATCTTCCAAAGGTATCTTGATCTCGCCAGACTGTTTCGCCTTGACTTGCGTGTTGTCAGCCAGGTTCAACGAAACAGCGTTGTTGGAGCGAAGCTTGGAGAACAGCAGCTTGTTTCCAGTCACGTCAACTGTGCAAGCACTGTCAAGAATCCAGCCGTCGTACCAACAGTCCGTGGTGGTGGCGAGGCAGAACCCTTCCTCCAGCGCTTCAACGACATTGACTTCTTCGTCAGGTTTGGGAATTGTTGAACGACGATGGACCCCCTTCTCAATGTCCTTCTTCTTCAATCGGCATTCAAACGCGTGATGGCCTTGCTTGTGACAGTAGTAGCACTTGTCGTTCATCTTGTTTCTTGGTTTCTTGTTTTGGTGTCCTGCAGTGTACAATACTTGTTCTTCATCGTTCTTGCATTTGGATGGCTAGGAGTCGTTGACCTCTCTTTCCTTAGCCAAAAGCCGATCGCAGATCTGTTACAATATCGGCGGTGGGTCACGGGAGCGTAGGATTTCGACTGTCGTTGGGAACGCATCTTTCACACTGGTCAACACGACCTTTCCGAGCATTTCGTCTTCGACCATGGAGCCCATGTGCATGAGCTTGTGTTGAAAACCACGCATCTCAGTCAAGTGGCGCTGCATGGAGGTTCCAGGTTTGTACGACGTTGTGTGCATGCAATGGGGATCACATGCGAGACGTCAGCGTAGGCACGCGACTCGTAGCGCTCGGTAAGCAAAGCCCAGGCATCGCTCACCAGCTTGAGGTGGCACACGTAGGCAACGTTGTCGTCATCGAGCGAGTTGATGATCACGTTAAACGCTTTGTTTTCCTTCTCTTCAGCTGCATCGTCTTCATGGACCAGCACAGTGTTCCACATGACCGGCAGCCTTCAACTTAGCTTGGATCGGGTCTTGTAGATATTGACATTGGTTCCACGAAAGCAAATCTTGTCCTTGGCCGAGAGATTCCCCGATTCTTGTTGCGTACCTTTTAGAGTT